AGAAAAATAAGACTGATGTCCACCTGGAACAGATCCAGACAAAAGTTTGCATTCACATGAGCACAGCTAATGCAAGAAAAGTGTATTAAATATTGACCTGTGTTGATATTAAGCCACTGCTGGGTTGTTCAATGTTAAATCAATCAGAGACACTCAGGTATAGTGACATTTAATGAAGCAAAATATCAACTTTTTGCTGTAAATATTTACAGGACTTCATCGAGGCGGGGGAATTTGGTACTTATTAATGTTACTAATTTTTCAGTACTTTTGAGTCCTCGTAACTTCGTAATGAGGGTTAAAAACCTACATAAAACGGATAATCTCCGACCACGGAGATGAGGGGGTACTGCAGCAAAGAGACTCCAGCGGACAAAGCCATCACCAGGCCATACAGCTTCCCAAAGTGACAGGCTGGAAAACTGAAAGAGCAAAAACCAAAGGATTATAACGTGTCTGTGTCTGACTGATGAATAAATTCTCTGTTACCTGAAATTATTTTGCTTCCTGAAATTGTATTTTAATTGAAACTGAGAAGTTTAGAGGACAGGGGAAACTCAAAAAAAGCTAAACTAATGTGCGTTTGATATAAACTCACGCGATGCTAATGAAGGCTGCATTCCCCCCATAAAGGAAGGAGCGATTGAGGACCTGCAGGATGAAGGTGAAGTACTGCAGCGGGAGACAATCAATAGAGGTGCACACAGAAAAGAGGAGGCACTGCAGGACAGTCAGGAGCAGGGACAGGTAGGAGGAGCGCAGGTCCGCCTCTTGCTCAGTCTCTCCTACAGTACAAGAGAGATTCAGAAGGAGTTTCCACATGAAAACAAGTCGTTCTAACAGCATTCACTGATTTACCCGGAGCCAGAGGCTTCTTCTTGTGTCTGTCCATGATGAGTCCGTTCCAGGGGGCACACAGGATGGCACACAGCTGAGTTATTGCGAACGCATTGGTGTACTGGCTCACTGATGATTTAGGGAAACAAGAGAATGAAGTCAGAGAATATCTGGATCAAAGATGATAATGAGGACAATGACTTACCCAGGTTGGAGTCACCATCAGCCAGCCGGTTGAGCATGGAGTGGAGCGTGCCAATGAACAAGTAGTGTCTCAGCTGCATGGTGGACAACCACACCAGGTGAAATATGAAGAACCTGGACTTGACACAGCTGCTGAACGACTGCACTGAACACACAAAACTGGGTGTAAAACACATTAACTAATACGTGCTACTTTGTTGCGTGTATATGTACTTGTATTTGCCTGCAGTGGTTTCTTTGTTGGCCAAACAGTAGAAACACTTGACACAAACAGTTTTGGATGGTAAAGTGGCTATAAGAACCTTTTTCTGTGTTTTGAGCCTCTGTCCTACCCTCGGGTGCCAGCGACGTGTTCTCCGTCTCAGGGGACTCCTGTGTCGGCGGACCTTCCTTCATCTCAGTCTCCTCCACAGTGTCAGTGTTTCCCTTTCCACAGTTTATCCTGAACGTCAGAAAAAAGTGTGATTAACAAATGAGTGCACATTCAAAATCAACGTTGCACTGGTCACTTTTGTTCTTTTGTTAGTGACTCGGAATTATTAAAAATCAAAAGGTTTATGCTCGTCATCTGTGGTGAAAGATGAAGAAAACAAAGAAAGTGTTGTGACAGGGAAAGCGGAAAGCAAGTGGAGAACATATACCACCTGATCTGTTCCCTGAAGATCAGGACCTCACTGCTCACTCACTCACTAGAAATTTGGGTTTAAATAATGACATCCAGCATGGAAAACTTCTTTTTTGCTTGGTTTTTGTACTAGTGTAACTTGTAGGTACAATAAAGCACTTTTTCCATTGGTACCTATTTGGATTGGAATGGAATCGTCTGGAGTTTTAATAAGAAAACTCCAGACGATTCCATTCTGAGCTTAAGAAGCTTCTGATAGGTTAGTACAGTCCATGTGAGTAA